ATGAAGCAGTTAGCTCCTGGCTACTAAAAGATTGAGAAACACCACTCTAAATTTTTTGTCACTGGACCCAACCACATAATCTCCCTGCTAAGAATCAAAACTACCTAGTCTTTGACCCAGTGAAGTCGTCTGCTAAGGATGTGTTGAATTTGAGGTGTCTGAAGAACTCCAATATCCAAAACCAGTAGGCAGTTAAAATTATGAGTCTAGCCATCAGAGATTAGGATATCATCAATATATAGAAATTACATAAGTGGCTGAGACACTCAGGTAAAGGATGTAAAATGTAAAGAGAATGGAAGCTAGAATATGTAAAGCTCAGGTAAAAGTGAGCTGATGGTCTTAAGACTTTATATATCATGAAGAAGACCTACTCTTCCAAGATTTCCTTTATTCCAGTGTACACAAATCATTACCCATGTGTATCCTTATCATTCTCATTGTAATCCTTAACTGCATGACCAAGGCTATATATATAAATGTATATATATGCATGTGTACATATATACATACATATGTACATACACACATACATAAATATATTTCCAGTTACTTCTGAATTCACCTAATTAAAACCAAATAGGAGCCGAGTAGAGCAGTCTGAGATTTTTTATATCCATTTGTATGTGTGTATGTGCATGCGCATGTGTGAAGTAGCCCTGACCTCATGGCTCCTGATAATGATTACTTCATGATGGAATGATGATGATGATGATGACTGTGGAATAAAATGCCATTTTAGCTAAACTAAGCCTTTCTCTCTTCCTATAGAGGCAAAATTCTACATCTCCTTTTGCTTGTCACCCTTGCTGTTATTTCGTGTATCTCAAATTGCCATTCTTTGACATTCTATCACTGCTACACGCCATTATCATCCTGTTACATAGCACTCTTGGAGAATCTTGACTGCCCTGTGAATTGACCCAGCAATTATGGCCAAATGCTTTAGGAATGCTCTTGCACATTATAAATACATCAATGAGCATGCTGATGTGATAATGATGAAATTATACTTTCTCACTTTCAGTAGCTTCCAGAAAGTTGCTCACAAGAGGATGCTTCCTGGTCTAAGGTAAAAATCCTAGCCTACCAGTCCCTGCAATGTCTGGGACCCTGGGAGCAGGGGGAATTGGATTCTAAAGGGAGATAGTCTTTGCCTCGTTCTTCGGTTCTGTTAATTCAATGAGAGATGTAAGCTTAGTATTATTAGAATCCTCCAAGATCCTTTCACCCACTGAATTTACATAAATTATTAACATCAGCAAATTCCTTTTCTCTCAGATGAAGTTTCCCACTTGTTAAAGATTGGAGGTTGATCACTCACAGGGACTTAAAAGATTATAACACAGAAAGAAAGGAAAGCAGAGTCAAAATCTCTGCCTCCACCTCCCACTCCCAGGAATCACCACTGAAATAATGCTCCCAGTCCTGAAAACTGGCTCCTTGTCCTCTCTGATGGCATCAGTACCACTCAAGCATGGTCAACATTTGAGTTTGGTGGTGTCTGTGGATTTGAGTGTGTGTTGGGAGTTTGGGGAAAGAAGAGGTCCGATCTGTAAAGAATACTCTTCTTTGCTAAAGACTGATATATTTTGCAGAGCATGTAAGTGCTTTCACTGGAATTTTAGCCTAAAGTTTTAGAATTAAAAAATATATATGTTGCTTTCTTTCCTCTTTATACTACCTGTCGTCCTTCCCCATTACATACCCAATTCTTGTTAGTGGTAAAAAAACAAACTATAGTTGCCCTAACATTAATTATGTTCACGGACCCAACAAGGATCTTTGGTTTAATTTTGCGTTTTCAGCTTTGATAATGTTATCTTTCACACGTTCTTTCATCAAACATTGAATGTGGGAGCAGGGAGTATATAAGTAAGATACGAACGAGCCCACCAAAATCTTCATAGTAGAGTAGGAGAAAGAGGCCCATGAACAATGAACATTCACATAGTATGGCAAATGCTGGAGTAGGATTATTACAATAGGCTAGAAGATCACACTTCCAGGAGGAAATTCTACTTAGGAAGACATTTGGGAAGGTTTCCCCAGAGAAGATGTTGATTGGTTTGAGATTTGAACAATGATTACTGTTTGATCCAGTGGAGTTGGGTAAAGCAAATTTCAGACAGAAGGAAGAGAATAAGCAAAGGTTTATGCAAGTTTAAGGAATGATAGGCACTAAGATTTTACTAGATAGAATGTATGGATGATGGGGAGTGGCAGTAGATGGAATGTAAAAGCGTGTGGCACAAGATCATTAGGGACACTGAATGCTGTGCTAAAAATTTAAAAAGGAAGCCAGTACAGGTAAAGCTCAGGTGATGATCCTAAGACTTTATATATGGGAATGAGAATGGGAGAGTAAAGTGATTGTTTTTTTTCCCAATTTTGAAAACAATATGACAGGCAGAAATATTCCTTATAGATGGATAAAGATACCAAGATAATTCCTTAAAGATGATAATTCTTGGTTGGGGGATCCCGACAAAAAATAAATAAGAAGGAATATGTATCACATTGTTTAGTGCACTGTGGACTCCTAGAGTAAGTCTCCTCTTGCAAGTGTTTGCCTCATCTGTTAATGTTTACCTCCGTTACTGGTATTTGGATTGGCTCTTAAACTATCCTGGCATTAATTCGTCTTTCCAGACAGCTGATCCTTTGAAGCATCATTGTAAGAGATGCTTCTCTACTTATCTAAACAGAATGCACACTTGTCAGTCAAAACATAAATAGCACACAAGTAATCTTCATGTCCAGAGGCTGGAGGAGAGACAGGATGGCTTTCCCATTAAAGATCTGCCAAGTTTAGAATGGCCAGATTCTTTGTGAGCTGTCTGAAATTGTAGAGAGCAACCCCAACGTGAAAACTTCAGCTCTACTGTCAGTCTTTTATGCATACTCTTTACTGTTCTAATAAGAAGTCCCTAAAGGGCTCCCAAGACTACAAAATTACTACACCTCAGTATTGTCCCTGCTTTGGGGGCAACTGAATATGATTTTCCATTACTTTGCCTTCTTCCATAATAGCATTGGAATTTTTTGCTTTTTCCCTAGCACCCTATAGTCCCAAATGCTCATGCCTGAAGTGTCTCATTATTTGAATCATTGAGTCCCTTTCTCTAGTGACCTACAACGATGAAAGCCTCATGAGGTCTGAGGCATGATCCATGATGACAATCAATGGGTGCTTTCTATTCATAACGTCTGAAGCAGAGCTGTCTTTCATGCCAAGACGGAGATTGATCCCAAGAGTTTATGCAAAAGCTTCAACAGAGCTTGTGATTGTCTAGTTACATTTCTTAGAATGCCTCGAATTTTGCAATGGTGATTCTTTCTGTAGCTCATCCTTTCTCTCCCTTCTCAAAGAGTGACTGGCTAGCAAACAGAGAGACTTGGCAAAGCAGGAGACACTAAGTGCCACAGAGACCAAAGAATTTTTGGTTCATATTTGTTTTCCTGTCAGGTGTTGCTGGGAGATCCATTCCCTTCAATCCACTGCCAACTATGTGAACTCCAGCAATTTGGGATGCAAATAAATCATTGGCAAATATAACACAACAAATTGTTGGCTAATAGCGAAAGCTGAAGATGGCTCTGTTAATGGATCCAGCAAAGGCTTTTGTCAACTGGGTGAGGAGCCCAATCTAAATCCGAGAAGCTGGACTTGGAGCAGGGACAGAGATTCCAGGGAAGTTGCAGAAGACGGAGGTCTTGTTTCCACCATTAACAGCTGTTTGTCTTTCGGAAAGGACACCCAGGCTTAGTGTCTTTAATGGAAAACAATGATAAGATTGGATGCTCAGAACCCTAGTGCTTTAAGAAACAGTACGGAAAGAAAAAAATATAGACCAAATGATAGCATCTGCCTTTAGAATTTCCCAGACTTTCCTCACCAGTTTCTTTGTCAAAGAAAAAAAATATGTCACAATAATTTAAATGTGTCACTCCTTGGCTCTATCTCACAGAAATGAGATGAAGTAGGAGTTAGATGTTGATAGTGTCAGTTCTCAGAATGCATTGCTGTCACTGCCTATCCAACTGTACAGACTTTTTTCATGTGTCTTTGGGTGTATAATATCAGTGTACTGTGTTCAAAATCTTACATTTGTGTATACGTTTTCACAAACATAGATCAGGAGTATTTGAACTCTGTTGAACATTGACTCACAGAAAAAATTGTTAATCACTGTTTGTAAGGAAAATTCCTCACCTTTCATTAATTTATTCGTTTCATCAGCAAATAGTTATTGAGCACTTACTATGTGTCCAGCACTGTATTAGTGCTGAGGATATAGCCATGACCAAACAAATCAAAAATTCCCACTGACACAGAGCTTATATTCCAGTGGGAGGAGACAGACGTTAGACAAATATGTAAGTAAAATATATAATGTGTTGATGGTAATAAGGGTTAAGGAGGAAACTAAAGCAGGAAAAGGGTATAGGGTATTGCAATTTAAAAGAGGGTGCCTGATATTAATTCTTTCACTCCCTAAGTGTGGAATATCTTTCCATTTATTTATGTCTTCTGCAATTTCTTTCATTAATATCTTATAGTTTTCAGTACACAAGTCTTTCATTTCCTTGGTTAAATTTATTCCTGGGCATTTTATTCTTTTTGAGGCAGTCGTGAGTGGGATTGTTTTCTTAATTACTGTGTCTGATGGTTTGTTATTAGTGTACAGAATGCAACAGATTCTTGTATATTTATTTGTATCCTGCAATTTTACTGAATTCGTTTATTAGTTCTAACAGCTTTTTGGTCAAGTCTTTAGGATATTCTATATATATCATGTCACCTGCAAATAGTGACAGTTTTACTTTTTCCTTTCCAATATAGATCCCTTTTATCACTTTTTCTTGCCTAATTGCTCTGGCTAAGACATGCAATCTTATGCTGAACAAAAATTGCAAGAGTGAGCATCCTTGTCTTCTTCCTGATCTTAGAGGAGAAGATTTGAGCTTTCACCATTGAGTATGATGTTAGCTGTGGGCTTGTCATGTATGGCCTTTGCGGTGTACAGAAATAAATGTGTTGAATGAAAAAAAATACAGGGTGGCCAGAGAAGATCTTACTGATCAGGAGTCACTTGCACAAAGATTTGAGAGAAGTGAGGGAACGAGTCATGTGAGGAAAGAACAGTCCAGGTAGAGGGAATCACAAGCGCAAAGGCAGTAAGCCTGGAGCACATCTGGCACATCCGAGCAAGAGCAAGGAGGCCAGCATGGCTGGAGTGATGTGAACAAGAGGGAGAGTGGTAGGTCTCGAGGTGAGATCAGACGGTTCCCTGGGCAGAATGAGCCAGTGGTGGGACACTGTGTAGGGCTTGGTAGTTGTTCATAAGGATTTTGGCTTTTATGTAAGGGAGTGGAAAGTAATGGAGGACCTGACTTAAGTCATGTTTTAAAGGAATCATTCAGGCTGTACGGAGTTAAGGGCAGAATGAGGGAGACCAATTACAAAACTGTTATAAGAATCTAGATGAGAAACGATGGAGGCAATGTTTATGGTGGAAGCAGAGAAGGTGGAGACGTGGGGTTGGATCCTGAAGATATTTTGAACCTGGATCAATAAACCTGATCAATGTTGGAGTATTCATGTTCTGGGGAGGCAGATCTTAGGAAAGGCTGAGGGTAATTCCCAGAGACGGATATCAGCCATCAACATTCCTAGGAACTGGGAAAACAGGTGGCTTGGTCCTCTAAGGGGCATCTGGACACAGTATCCACTTCATCTATTTCTACAGCTTCCAATGAGGTACCCAGAGTTATGATTGTTATTCCCATTTTATACATAAGAAGACTGAAGCTTAAATAGATTAAATAGCTAATTCAAATTCTCAAGGTTGCAAATGATGCATCTAAGTCTTAAATAGGTCTTCTGATGCTGTGTTTTGCCAGCACTTTTTCCTCAGTCACATAACCCACTTACCAGTTCCTGTCACAGGAGTCTACTTATAAAGTTGATGACCAGTTTTCACTTGCAATGCTCAAGTGCTTGCTCTTGGATTGAGCTGCTGTGATTAAACCCCAGGCTCTGATGTATGGTCAACCTGACGATCTTTGGCCATGAGCATAGGGATGGGCTAGCATACACTTGTATGTGGTGGAGTGTGCACCTTGCGTCCTCTTCAGTTTCTTCTTTCTTTTCTCCCTTCCTTCCTTCCCTTGACCAGCTGTAATAATGATAACCACATTTCGTGCCCATAAAAGTACTATGTATTCTTTATGAATTTTCCCATTTATTTTATTTCTGAAAGTATGAATACAAAAGCTAGTGCAAGAACTTGAGAATGGAGCCTTGGAAGGAGAAAGGTTTGAGATGGAAGAAGTTCCCCTTTGCACATGCTCCTTCAGAGATGCCCTTGGGCCATTTAAGATGAAAGATACAAAGCTTTGGCTCAGAGAAATCTAGATAGAGACATAAATTTGAGAGTTTCTGAACATTCTGTTTTAAAATTTGTTTCCTAAACCTCTAACTGGCAATCTGTGAATTGGTTTCTAGTTGTTTCTAACTCTGTGCGTGTGATTGTCACAGGTAAGTTGAACAAACAAAAATTACATTTAAGAGAAGCATTACCTTATTTTGACTCTCACTATGTCTTTAAATTATTCCATGGAGGTTTTCTTCTTCAGATGCTGGCAGATCCCAGGGCTTTTCTCTTTATTCTTAGAAAATGCCCATCCTTACAGTGATTTTTGGGTTGCAGTCATAGTCTCAATTTCAAACATTTAATGTCCAGTCCAAGGTATTATTCAATGTGTCTGACTTGGTTTAACATCAAAATATTGGCCTTTTCCGGGCACAGACCTGGGTCAGTGGGGAAGCTGGAGGGCAGTGAAGGGACAGGACTCCCCTCTTTCACTAGCTTCTGTTTCCTGCATTGGGAGGATGGATAAGGGGATAGGGCTGTTCTTACTGTGCTGGGTGGCTTCACACCCTAGGCTTTGCATGGTTCTGTCTGGTTCTGTTTGTGGGGCATAGTTTGGGTTCTTTGTAGTTTCTGGGTTGGCTCCTCTCACCTGAAATTGCCTGAAGAAAGAGTGAGGCTCTATTCTGGGTGGCCACCGTCGCTCCTTTCTCAGCTCAGGGGCATTGGTAGTACCCCCCAACCAGCCTCTTTCTGCAGACATCTCCTTGCCCACCCAGGAAGCTCTATTGACCAGAACAGGACTCAAGTACTCACACCGACTCTCCCTCTGTCCTAATGGCCCATACCAGGCCTGGCATAGGAGTGTGGGCCATAGTGCCTCAGTCACAAGAGCAGTGTCAGCCCTTCCCCTGCCTGTTAGATTTCCTGTGGTGGAGTCAGGCCACACCTGCAGTCCTCGTCAGCTTTCTCAGGCGAGAATGGGGAGCCTGTTCCTGCACTTTGAAATTTCAGGGCAGGTAGGCCAAGCTCTCCAAGGTGAGGGAGGAGCTGTGTGACTCTTCCTCTTTTCCTACTGAGGAGGAGAATGATTCTTTGATAAAGGAATGATAGGAAATAATTGTCCTTCCACTACACTTTTCTTCTCTGTTCCTCACGTACATGGGTAAAAATACCCTGAAGTGAGAAATAAAAGTGACATTAGGAGGTTGCTTAGGCAGCAAGTTTGAAGGAATTCATGACGTTCTGGAGGAATGGCCGCTATGATTACCTCCACAGGAAGGAGCCTTCAGAGAAGCTGGAGGAGGCAGCAAGGGAGTGGGTGCTGTCACTTTTTTTTTATAGCCGTTTCTTCCCTTACCTCAAATAACCTGGTATGGGGATGTGGTGGCTCTGTCTTCCTGCCTTATTATGTGCTGTGAGATTCCTTAGGCCACGGAGCGCTCGCCGCACACCGATGGGGCAGCCGGCACTGGGGAGAGGAGACGGCTGAGGGGCTGGGGACGGGCTGAGCTCCTGACTCTCAGAAGGTCCTCCTCATGCCTGCAAATTTTGCTCCTCCACAACTGCAAAGTAAAGAGAAATAGGTAATTTCGTGGGTGGGAAAACCATTCTCAACTGCAAAAAATTTGCTTATAAGATTCCCAGAGTTTTAGCTCACAAGTCAGAAATTTCACACTTAACATGAAATTGGCGAGAAGCCCAGAAGTCGCCATTTTTGCTTAGGTACCAAAATTCTAGGTCGATATACTTAAAGAGTAACCAGGGAACTAAAATGTCCTTTGGACTTAAGATTTGTTTACATATGATCCATTGACATGATTATTTACTTACAAAATGAATTTGGAGTTGATTTTGTTATTTTGAAAAGGTCCAGGAATCACACATTCATTTATTTCTAAGACATCTTCTGATCACAAAGCATTGAAATTCTTACAAAGATGTATATAATTAATGATCTGTAGGCATAGTTTCACATCTTACATATTCTTTGTGATAATTAAATATTATAGCGTTTTTCCCTAACTGGATGCACTAGAATCTTATTAAGTGGTTAAGTCAGTTGAATAAAAGCGTCTTAGAGGGCTTAATCCTCTCCAATTGGATATGGTAATTTAATACTTGCTACACTTCTACGGCGGGCTGTGAGCTGCATAGGATGAACCAAGACATCATTATCTGCTCCCATCATCCAGTACATGTGTATGCCCACCTGCACATGCAGGCTCCACATAGGCAATACGCCTTTCAACAATTATACTCAATACTCATTATCTGTGAATCCTGTATTTGCAAAGTTGCCTATTCACTAAAATTTATTTGTAACCCCCAAATCAATACTTGCAGCGTTTTTGCAGTCATTTGAGGACATTTGAGTTGCCAAAGGGGCACATTCTCGGCAGAGGTCAAACCAGGTGACATTCTGCCTTCTTGTTTCAGCTCTCCTACTATAGACAAGTATCCTTTTCACAGTCTGGTCAGTGCCCTGTTTTCCACATTCATGAGATTTTTATTTGCAATTTTGATGTTTAAAAGGCCCTTAAATGTGGTGAAGTGCTGTCTAGCATTCCTAAGCACAAAAAGTCTGGGATGTGCCTTAGGGAGAAAAGGTGTGTGTTAGCTAAGCTTCATTCAGGCATGAGTTACAATGTTATTGTCTGTCAGTTCAACATTAATGAGTCAACTGTATCTATTAATAAACGGTCTTACAAACATAGAGAACAAGGTTATGTATTGATTGGTTGGTGAAATGTGTGACTAGAGGCTCCTGGGAACCTAACTTTGTGTTTCTCTTAGGAACAGTGGTTCCGTATTCACGAATTCAGTGTTAACAGTGACTTTATAGAACATACTACTGCAAATAACAAGAATCAACTGTACCTGGTTTTGATTGATATATTTGCTGGAGTATCTCTTACTCTTTTGCCTACTGAATTTGATGTATTTATTTAGATAAGCCCCTTTATTCATTCAACACATTTTTACTAGGTGCTTCCTATATGCCAGGCCCTGTTGGGTATTGGTGATAAAACGGGGAGTAAAAATAGCCACAGTCCCTGTCGTACAGGCTAGAGGAAAAGACAGGTTCCGAATACAGAGGTCTATGTCAAATTATAAAAATGGGACAATGCTTTAAAGGCAAAGCACAGGGCATTAGGAGCCAGAGCGTGTATCAGAGAGACCTGTCACTATCTGATGGTGGTAGGGCGTGAAGTTGAGCTAAGATCTGAGGGAGGAAAAGCAGCGAGTTAGGCGTGGGGTAGAGGTGTGGGTGAGCTTCCCAGGCAGAGGCGGCAGCACATGCACAGACTCTGTGGCAGGAGGGTCCATGGCACCTCCAGGGAACTGAAAGCACGAGAGTGGCTGGGGCCTGGAGACTGAGGAGGGTCTGGAGTGGCTCCAAGTGTAAGCGGGGAACAGTCACACGGAAGCTTGCAAGATCACTGACGACTCGGGTTTTATCTAAACAGCCTAGGTAAGTCATTAAAAGGTTTTCAGCAAGAGCATGGTCAGATTTGTGTTTTTAAACGGTCACTCTTGCTGCAGAGGGGAGAATAGATTGGAGGAGGTGAGGAGCCCGGGAAGCGGGCTCTGGTAGAAGTTCGTGGTGACGTGGGGGTGGGGGAGCAGAATCAGCGGAGGGAAGACACAGGAGTAGGTGTGCTGTGAACTATGGAGAAGGCAGCATTGCAGTTATTCAAAGCAGACTGATCGATACTGAGTGACGTCAGGTGCAGGAGACCGCCACGACCTATCAGATGCTGGCTATGAGAGCGCTGGCATAAGAGCCTGACACGATGTGACGCTCCCCTGCCCCGAATGAATGTGGGGAGACTTGTGGGACTCAAGCGTAAAAATGAAATGCGAGGCTTCAAAGCTCAGTTCCCACATTTGCATGCAATTCCCCTCTAGAATTGCTTTCTTTGAGTAAAGTGGTTTTTCTGCTTTTGAGAATGTGCTTTGAAAAAAAATACAGGGCTGTGCTAATATATAAATGTGTAACAAGACAGTACAAACACAGATAGCAAAATGCAGCTTTAGAAAATTTACTGGCCAGTATGCATTATTATGTGATTGAAAATGACAATATTGATTTTATATCTTACTGCATGTCATGGCACCATTTTATATCACTCTCTGATGTATTTATAAGGTATAAAATTATGTTGTTCTGTTTTTTGGAGATTTTTCTTCATGTCAATGAAAATTTTAAATGACGTTTAATGTTCTAAAAAGTGCCATTATAATTGATGAAAGAATGAAAATAATTCATCCTTTAAAATCTGAAGATTAATACATCTACACTTACTTGAGGTAATTTCTACCTCAGAAAAGTATAAACTGGCATTCTTTGGTACTATTTTGTTTTCTCGTCTATTCCGTGTGTTGAATGGGTACGTAAGAAATAAATCTGATACTGCCCAAATGTGCCTTTCCTTTTTGTGTTGCGAAACATTTAGAGAGAGTTCTATATAGAAAAGTGTTTGTGCTTGACCAGTTGGACAGATAAGCTTATGAGGTGAAAATATTGCTCAAGATCTGAGGTTTCCAACTCCACCTTTGTTTCTCTTGTCAATTTATCAAAGTCTTAATTCAGTTACAGGACTCCATATGGTTCTGGAAATACAAATGTGAAAGGAACAGTCTTTGCTTTTTGGAGTCTACTGGAAGAGATGGACATACAAACTAACCTAACCTGACACACTATTAGGGAAAGTTTCCATAAGCTGCTGTGAGAGGAAGAAAAAATACCAGGAAGATTTTCCAAAGGAAGAGCCATTGAAGGCTTGAAGGAAGAGTTGAGATTGCCCAGACACATGGGTCAACATGTGTCATAGAAGGCAGGCATTAAAAACATGGCATATTTGGAAGAGGGTCGTGAATGAGTGGAGAAAGATAAAAGTCTTGCATCAGGAGGCTTTTTTATTCCTCAGAGTCTGCATTTTGGGATGGAAAATTGTGTTGGCTATGCAAGGAGAGACACTATGAATGAGGTATGTCATGTAATTTCGTTTAATCTAAATTAATCAGATAATGAATAGCGTAGACAACGGAATAATGCATTTAGACTTTTTAGAATTAATTTTGGAATCTTATACCTTCTGGGATGTAGATGAAATAATTATGTGGGTCTGAATTTCTTGATAAATTGCTTTCAGGTTTTGAGTAACTTGAAACATTCTCTGTAGGCAGGCCCATTCTCTTCTTTCTCCTTCTCTTTTCTTCCTTTCTTCTCCAAGTTAAAACATAATAAAGATGAATATTTGCTGTCTTCTTTCAGTCATAAAGGTAAGACGCGGGTTTCACAGGTAGGAGGAAGATCATGGTTAAATGCTTTCCTTCTAAGCTCCTATTTAGATTGATGTCAATTCATTCTTACAATCTAGGAAGTAAAATTTTACCCCTCAGTCATATTTCTTGCTATTTAAAAAAAAATTATAACTGACTGAAAATTCTCTCAGATATATTCTCTATTTCAGAACTATCTGCCAATAGAAAGTCATTCGTCCACAGGATTTCTAAAATCAAACTTTTAACAAAGAGCATGCAAACAGCTTACTTTCAACAGACTATCTCACAGAAAGTAATGCTGAGTATTAACCAAACCATTTAATATAACTACTTAAACACCTACCCTAATTATGAAATTTTGAAGATCCTAAAACAGATTTCATGCAGAGTCTAGGTCTTCTCATATGAAGGAAAACAACATTTTATTATCTGTAAGTTTATTATTCTAAAAGATTTTAGATTTTCTTTTCCAAATTGGATTCAGATCGAACTTCTAAGTAAATAAAAGATCCTTTTCCTCTTCTTTCAGCTGCTCTGACTCTGAAGGCCTTAGTTTCCTTGGGTTGGAGCAGTTTCAACATCTTGAAATGAAACGACTAATTAAAATGTTTTTGTTTTTGGCTTTGAGTCTTTCTTTTTGTCTGGCTGAAGTTCTGTCTTCTTTTGCTGCAGCCAGTGCAGCGTATTCCCATGTCTAAACTTTGTTGTGGAAAATACCATTGGTTGGGCAACAAAAAAACATGAATGAATGAAGCATTTGATAATTGGCGATCTACCTTTCTCTGCCTGATACCAAGTAGGAGAGATGCCGAAAAGCCATCATCACTTTCTCATAACTTCATACCAATCAGGCCCTGTAACAAAATATTTTCTTTAGTGACTATCAACTTTATGTAGTATCTTCTGTCCTATGTTTATGAGTGCTTATGGATTTTAGAAAAAATAACATTTTATCAACATTTTTTGAGAGCCTATGTTTGCCAGGTTTTCAGAATATCATACACTTTGATATTATTTTTTGGTTATTATTTACCCTCCCCTCTAGATGTAAGCTCCTTTAGGCAGACTGCTTGACTTTCTTTCTCACTGTTGAATCCCCCCATCCCTAGGGTGTAGAGTGTGAAACATGGTTAAATACCAAAAAAAAAAAAAAAATTAACTGAATGAATGAATGGATGGGCTGAACAGACATAGTGTCTGCATTCAAAAGCAACACAGACAAATGGGGGCAGAGAAGTGAACCAGCAGAGGCATTCATAAAAAGCTATGGAGTATAAATGGTGGACCAATTCCCATGTGTTTAGGACGGACAGGGAACGTCAGGAATTGGTTCACAGAGGAGACGCTGTCTGAACAGTATCTTGTGGAGTAAATCAGAGTTCCATAGCAGGCCTGGAACAAAGAGAGAGAGGAATGTATGCCAGACAAAGAAAACCACAGTGACAAGGCATGCATACTTTGTGACCATGTTCAATTTGAAATATTTGGAGAACATAAGGGAGACATTCCCCGTGAATTTGGAGCTCAAGATAAAGTCTTTTAATGTAATCTCCTTGCTTAATCTTCTCTCTCTATAGATATATTTTTCCAAATATAGTGTTGGGGACCCTGTGAACACTAAATAAATGACAATGCAGACTGATTAGATTTAGCTTAAAGAACACCTAATGCAAAATTGTGTAGAATGACTTAAAAGTGTACAGTTGAGAGAGTGGAATGCAACTTTTTAAAAAGGGTCTTCAAAATGTTGTTGCCCATTTGAGAAGGACTATGACCATGTGTTGACCCTCTCATTCCTACACACAGGAGGCATCACTACTTCCAACAATTTATTTTGTGTGAGTCATGTCAGATATTAGTAGAAAGGATTTGGGGGGTGTGTTATTATCCTTATTCTTTAAGAACTTACAATATAATGTATACTTTTCCACATTAAACATAAAAGGACACTAAATAAACAAAATTTAAAACAGCATTGAGAGTAGGTCTGCCATAATGGGCTTCACAGTGTTGAAGACATTTAAAGAGTGAAGGGTAGAAGAAGCTCAGATACTTTGAGTTCAATCCTGACTGATGAGTCAGTACAGAAAGTGCGGTTGCCTTGTGCATGCTGACTGACACATGGACTAGTGGAGCCTCAGAAGCTTTCTCACCAAGAAGATAATTTGGGGAGATATAAATGGGCAATGGCTGAGTTTGGAAAAGTGGGAAGGTGGGAGGAGGGAGGCCAGCTGAGTGTTGAAGGAGGGCAGGAATGTAATTGTGGCCAAAAGAAGTTAAGTAATCCAGGGCACTGAGGGAGAAGGGTTTAAAGGACAAGGAAAGGAATCTGGACACTTACTGTAGAGGGAATTATAAATATTTAGTAAATATTTCCTTTCTCCAAGAAAATAATATTGTCATGGTAAAAATGCTATAGTTCTGTAATAAACATTAGGGGTTATAAATCCATCTATCTAATCAAATCCTGACTTTGATATATCATTATTTTAAAACATCTTTCTCAGGTAGGGTCTTTCTGCATGATAGAGTATATTATCTACTTGAAAATTCCCTTCCATGTGTATTGTGGTGAGCAGATGTATTTGTATTTCAACACGGGCATGCTGAGATCTTTAACGTGGGAGCCTTAAAAGTCGAACTCCTCTGATTATTTTTTAGCCATTGAATCCAGGAAGTGTGGGAACTGGGAGTCCTGTTCTAGTGACCTGTGGAGTATGCGCTATGTTTGTCTTCTCTGCTGAGATAGTCATCAATTATGTGTGCTCTAAACGCATACTAATCTTTCTTTTAGAAGAAGGTTAAAGGATGTCGAGAATGTATCTCTGTGCTCCAGCTTATTAAGGAGAATGAAAAATCCCTAGAGAAGATGGAAAGAAAATAATTCAGGGAGCATGCTAAAAATAAAAATATATTCTGAAGTAAGAGGGAGTACTGGGAAAATCAATACCATTATTAAGAGGTTCAGAAGTGAATGAATGTGACATTGGGGAAAAAGACAAGGAAAAATATTATCATCAGTATAGCATGACATGAAACTCTGCCCAAAAAGCGAACAATGTGCTATTATTCTGGGACTATTAAGAAGGATTTCTAAGTATTAGTGAGTGAGCAGAATCCAGCTGGAACATCAAGAGGAAATGACCCACACATCCCCCCACCCCAAGCACACACACACACAGTGATGGATGCCCAGTGACCCTCCTATTTCCAACTACCCAATGGATACGCTTTCTGAGTGCCCACTTGGGAGTGTATGTCCCTATAAAAATGAACTTAGGACATATTTCCAGTGATTTGGAAGATCTCAATAGGAAGCTGATGGACTGATAGGCATAGAATATGTAGTTTCTTCTTCCAAAGTGATGACTTTGAAAAGTAGATAGGAAGATACAGGAAATAATTGATGGCGGGATATAAGTGGTAAAATAAAATAATTTGGTCCTCTGGTGTGTGGTTTATGATAACAAAATGATAAGGAGGAGATAGCATTCCATGAAGATTGGGAAGAAAAAGTTCAGGAAAGTAGCTGACTGAATTTCTTAGTGCAAGGACCATATTTTATTAATCTCGGCATCTTTGGCACTTACTATAATGCTTTACGTATGGCAGCAGCTTAAATTTAAGAGGGTTTAATTTAAGAGGTAGAAAGAAGAAAGCATTAAGAAAAAGAAATCATAAATCACAATTCTATAAGTGATAGTAGGTAAGAACAAAAACAAAAACATAACAACAACAAACTAAAGTGCCAGAGGTGTCCAGTTATTGTCATGAGAAAACAGCGGAGAAACTGGTCAGGAGCAATAACTTACGGCTGGACTTGTACACACGGAAGTGCAGAACAATGCGGAGTTCAAGCAAAATGAGCTTGAAATGTTAAGAGAGGAAGCAGAAATTATCTCAAAGCTATCGCTATGTTTCAGTGAACCAAAATAATAGAAGACTACACACTGTTCCAAGGAAATACATTTGATACTGATGGGGATTTGGCAGGATAAATCAACAACGTAATTCAACTTAATAGTGCGCTTGTGCAGGGCATATCAAGATATGAAGACGACTAAGACATAATATTTGGTATCAGAGACTTCACAATCACAAGTGGGGATGGATAAGTAAGCATGTAACTAAAGTAAAAAGTGATAAGAACTATAACTGATGTGCCCAAAGGGCTGTGTATTCGTTTCCTGGGGCTACCATAACCAAGGACCACACACTGGGTGGCTGAAACAGCAGAATCGTATTGGCTCACAGCTCTGGAGGCTAGATGTCTGAAAGGAACGTGTCAACAGGGTTGGTTCCTTCTGAGGGCTGTGAAGATCTGTTCCATGCTCCTCTCCTAGCTTTTGGTGGTTTGCTGGCAATCTTTGGTGTTCTCTGGCTTATAGAAGCATCAATCTGATCTCTGCCTTCGTTTGCACATGGTGTTCTTCCTGCGAACTCGTCTGTATCCAAATTTCCCCTTTTTATAAGTTTGCAGTCACCTTGTATTCGGCCCCACTCGGATGACCTCATCCCAACTTGTTGATCTACAAAGACCCCGTTTCCAAATAAAGCCATGCTCACAGGTACCGGAGGTTAGGACTTCAGTATTTTTTGGGGGGGCAATGCAATTCAACCCATAATAGTCCATGAGAACATTGGAATCATTGTGGCATATAGCACAGCTTCTCAAGCATGGTGGAGAACAGTAACAATAGAT